GTACACACAAAAAGGGACTGGCTAGTCAAACAAAGAGGCTGGGTAAGTTCAGCTTATGGATGAAGAGAATCTTGGAGGAGTGGAAATGGAATGAAGGAGTTTCTGGGAAAGAAGGAAGTAGCTGAAGGTTTTAAGGTTTCTGTGAACCTTGACCCAATTTCCTGAGCTCTTCACATATCTGGTTGTTTGTGTTAAGTAGTGGTTTCATAAGAGAAGTGATATGTATCAAAAGTCCTGATTTTCTGTAGGTAATTGTTGTAATTCAGTTGGATAATCTTCAGATCTCTGGATTCAAACCATGAAGAAATTAGTCATCTGGGGATGGTAACTAAAAGATATTTCTAAAGTGCCCCTCAATTATGTATATACATGGGATGGAGCCTGCATTGTAAGCGTTAACACCCATATAACTGAAGCAGGATATACCTAACCACACTGAGAAATAACTTTTTTTTTTTTTTTTTTTTTTTGCGGAACTGGGGTTTGAACTCAGGCCCCTGCACTTGCCAGGGAAGTGTTTATTCCACTGAGCCATCTCCCCGGCCCCACACTGAGAAATACTAATTACACAGCTGGCATATCAGGTAGTAGAGATTTAAGGGTAGGGAAGATACTTTGGCTTGTACATAATGGGATTTTTTTTTAGATTATGCTAATATGAGCAAGTATTTCAGTGAAACTACGTCTTAATCCTGTGAGTGCCCACTTACTGAAGGTTACCAGAAATGTGTTTTGTTTTGCAGTGTAAGAATAATTGGTTTGTCATTGTTTTGGGGAATACCTTCGACAGTAAATTCATCATTTCTGTGTATATTGTGTTACTAAGACAACAGAAACCCATACTTGAAAATGTGCTTCTCTTTTTGTTTTCTAGGATGGGTTTGTGGAGTTCTTCCACGTAGAGGATCTAGAAGGCGGCATCAGAAATGTGCTGCTGGCTTTTGCAGGTGTTGCTGGAGTAGGAGCTGGTTTGGCATATCTAATAAGATAGCCTTGTAAGTGCAATAGTTGACTGTTAAACAACCCCAGGCGCCAAAACATTATACTTCTGTGAAAGCAAAGTATTTATGAAGCTGGTGGGCTTGAAGCTGTCCAAGCAGCAACTTCAAAGAGGCCAGAAAGCAAGAACATGATGGCTGCCAGTCATGGGAGAAGAAGTCCCCTTCAAGAGCCACAGTGTGAAAGAAGCAAAGTGCAGTTTCAGCAACAAACTGTGAGACTGTGAAAGACTTCGAGATGTAGCGAAGGTGATAGGGTGGAAAGACTTGATTTCTTTGTGTAAAGCCAGAGGAGTGGCCAGTAGCCAGCTAGTCATAAAAGTCATTAAATATACCCACCAAGTCATCAATTGTCTCCTGTCAAAGAAGCACTAACAATGCTAGTGACTTGTGCATAAAGTGGATTTAAGCTACAAGGAGTTGAACTCTGACCACACGCCTCAGTGCGGTGGAGCAGCATGTGAAGGGCAGCTTTTCCTCTGTAATTCACTTCCCCAGTGTACTTCTTGAGTAGACCAACAATAGTTAGAAATATGGAATAGTCTCAGTTTTTAAAACAAAAGTAACTTGTATTTGTCTGTAAAAATTGTATATATTTTTACAGAAAGTATTTGGACAAAGTATATCAAATTAACAGTAGTTTTTTTCATACCCTTTTGAAGTTTGCAACTTCTGTAGTTAGCAATCTATTTCTTACAGCTTTTCTATTCAGAGCTTTGTCCTGGTCAGTTCTAGAATGTATACAGAACTAACTAAAGTTATGTGTATGCAGCCTGGTTGTACTGGAACAAATCTGATTCATAACTATGCAGGGTTTAATTTTCCAGTCTGATTTTGGTAAATATTCCTTATATGGCTTCTGGGGGAGGGTGGGCTGATATCTTAAAAATAGTGGGCTCTGATTAGACAACTTATGAGTTCTTAAATCTGACCTCGTTTAACTTATACAATTTAAAACTGAATTCATGAGCTCATCTTTAAAGCTTTCACTGAACAATTTTCAGCTGTTCCAAGTGAGCATTGTGTGTGAGAGACATTTGATTCCTTGTTTTAATTTGTAAAGTGATGGCTTGCAAAAGCAGGCCAGGGTCTAATGGTGCTAATTAATACTGGGCTTGCTTGTTAAACACAGGTTTAAGCCTAGTATGCAAATAAAAGAAATACTTAACAAGTTTCTTTTCTATTAATGATTACCAAGCTTTGTTTTGAAATGTGCATTGGCATCTCTGGGTCTGAGACCAAATCTGAATTTACTGTATTTTCTGTCCTTTGAAGTACGTGCTGCTAGTTCTGCTCCCTCTGCGGATACTTAGATCCAGTTCTACATCATTGCTCGGCCTTCTTTTGAACTCTTTATCTGCCCTTTTAATGTTCAGCACTATGCACCCCTACTGGGAACCTAATTAGCCCACCCCACCCTCCCAGTTAACAGCCCTTCATCTATCATGGGTTTTGTCCCTCGGGAGATAGGGATACCATGGGTGTTGTGACATAACAGTCATGGGATGGGAGGAACTCCTTCCCTGGTATCTTGCAGTTGCTTTAGCCTATCTTTAGGAAGAATTCAAAAATCCTGTTAGAAATTTTCAGAGAGGTAACGTGGCTTTCTAAAATATTTGCATTTGAATATGCTCACTTAAATTTCTGTTAAGAGGTGGGCTGTGTTAAACCTGAAAGTTATTTAGAAGCTGTTGGAAAACTGCAGAAAGCTGCTGTGTTGAAGCTAGAGTCATTTGAAAGCTTCAGTCTCCATGGGACCTTTAGTCTGCACACCAGATAAAAATAGGCATAAAGTGACTAAGAATGTAGCAGGGAAAAATGCCCTGCCTGTCCTCGGAGCCATAAAGTCATCTTGCTAGAGCTATTTTACCTATGTATTTATCCTTGTTCACAGGCCACTTATTTATATCATGTCTTCTCTTAACCTAAAAGCACTTTATGTAGTTTTTAACCTTACAATCTGGTTAAGGTGACTAAAAAAACCTTCCCGTACCTGTTGTGAAAATGAGTGTGAATTAATTGGTGTGCAGGAGCCTGGCTTCGTGAAGGCTGAAGTGTAAGAGGAATCTCAGTGGATGGTTTGGGTCCAGGGCAGTGAGGGTTTGCAGAGCCCAAGAGATTGGGGAAAGGGATGTGTGGGGGAAGGGTGGGGGATTACAGTTGATTTACTGGAAGAAGAGGCACGTGGTCTTGTAAAGTGCTGACTGGTTGTGTAGTTCAGAGAGAATCTTCCAAAATGGGAAGGGAGGGGCTGCTTGGATAGTGCTCAGTGACTTCTGTTTGTCTTATGCTTCTCTCAGGGAAAAAATACGCAGTCCTCCAGAGGTGGTGGGATACATTTAATTGGGAAGGGTGAACACCTTGGTTTCACAGCTATGCCAGGAAAGAGTAGGACCAACGACAAATTAATGAGCTGTAAAATGTAGTGTCTTTCCCTAACTTCCTGTTCTTCCTGAGGGGAAAAAAAAATAAATCTTTTCAAATTAAGGTGTGGTGTGGGTCTTTCCTCCTTGACACTTTTCTTCCGCCCTTTAAGTAAAGTCACCAAAACAAATGTATGTAGGTGAGTTGAAAGTATGAGCCCCACCCACAAAGCTGATTTGCCTTAGGACAAAGGACAGTTCTTTTTAAACTAGAGGTGTTGGGTTTTGTATTTTGAAGTGTACTGACCTTGAATTGAGGATGACCCTCCTGCCTTGCAGGCTGGGATCACAGGTGTGTGCCTGGCATGGAGGTGTGGGGATTTGTTTGAGGGATCTAGCTATGCAGCTCAGGCTACCCTTCAGTGCCAGGTTTTTTATTAAATATATTGTTGAGAAAAAAATAAATAACATTGGTGGGCCAGGGAGATAGTTCAGTAGAATTTGGACCTGAGTTCAATCCCCAGTTCCACCAAAAAAAGAAAAAGATAGATAGATAGATAGATAGATAGATAGATAGATAGATAGATAGATAGTTGCATTTCTGAAGTAAAACCTGTGCTTTTTTTGTTTTGAGATACTGGGGTTTTGTTTTTATTAAATAGGATCTTGTACAGACTGGCTTTGGACTCAAGATCTTTCTGCCTCAGCCTCCTACATGCTGGATTACTAGCACATACACCCCTAAAAATCCCAACTCATTTTTGAGAAAGGACCACTGATTTCCCCAGGCTGGCATCCAACTTGGAGTCCTGTGTCAGCCCTTTAATTGCAGAAATAAAATTCCTGTTCTGATAATTTTATTGACCTTGAATGTGCATACATTTTTGTGGTAAGGGTATTCAGTACAGCGTCATTCCATTTCCCCTTTGTGATTTTGAGAAAATTATTAGCGTTCCAGAGCTTTTTTTTTTCCCCCCTTCCAAAAATGGAGCTAAGATGCACCTGCAATCCCAGCCACTCCAGGAGCATTGCACATTTGAGGTGTGGTTCAGGACTTTGTACTTGCTAGGTAGGTGCTTATGCTACGGAGCTGTATCCCTCACCCTTGAGACCCTGCAGTTCAGGCTCACGTGGTAGACATGGCTGGTCTCAAAAGTCTTGAGTGCTAGGGTTACTGCTGTGTGCCACCATGCCCAGTACTAGGGATCAAACTCGACCTTGTGCTTGCCAGGCAAGCACTCTGACCTATCGTCCTGGCCCTCACCCTGTTTTAATAGAGGTATAGGATTGAGGATGCAGTGTGGAGCTCCCTGGGTTGAATTCCCCAGTACCACCAAAAAAAAAAAAAAAACTAAAACAAGCAAAAAAGCAGTTTCGAAAACCTTATCTGGTCTATGGTTTCAGCTACCTTGAAAGTGGGCTGGATTGCCACGGAAATGTGCAAATGTGAACTTTGCATATGATTGTCGCCCAGCAGCGAGCCCTGAGTGTGCACACAGGCTTGTGCACTTAGTGCTGGTGAGATGTCCACTGTGGCTCTGGAGAAGGCGGCTCTGTGCACCATCCTTCAGGCCAGAATTTTTTTTTAAAAAGCCAGAATTAACTAGTAATTCTCCCCCCCCCCCCCAAACCAGCGATTGAACTCGGGGCCCTTGTGCTTGCCAGGGAAGTACTTATTCTACTGAGCCATCTCCCAGCCCATTGACTAGTAATTCTTAGACGGTTAAGAGAAAAAAAATCTGTGATTTCTACACTGTACCTTCTAATGTATAGTTTCTTTATCTGCATAGTATAATAATAGCTCCTGACCATTGGGAAATCTTCCAGTATAGAGTACTCAACTTATGATTCAGCTTTTTTTTTTTTTTTTTTTTTTGAGACTGGTTTGCTGTGCAGCTCAGGCTAGCCTTGAACTCACTTTGTAGCCCAGGCTGGCTTCTGACTCGCCATGACCCTCAAATTCAGTGATCCTCCTGCCTCAGCCTCCTGAGTCCTGGGATTATAGGTGTGTGCCCCAATGCCTGGCCCACTTTTTATTTTGAGACAGAATCTCAGTTGCTGTATTCCTTAGGCTTGACTGGAATTTGTGACCCATCTTTGCTTTGACTATAGACATGCTCTCACACGTAGCCTTTAAAATTTAGTTTTAAACAGCACACAAGTTGCTCAGGCTAGCCTCAAACTAGATATTGTCCAGTTAGACAATTAGAGTCACTGGGATCACAGGTGTGTGCTTGCACACCCAGCAACATGAAGTTTGGTTTTGTCCTACACCCATAACATGCAGTGCCCTACCCTAGGGAATCTGGCTGCAGCCTCAAGCCCTGGCTTTGACAGCCACAGTCATGTGGGAACAGCTGCCATCTGCATGTCCCGTACTGTGCTGCTGATTAATGAGCTACAGGTTAGCCTTAAGTCACTGTGACTTAACGCTGCGTTCAGTGTCGGGTGATTTACCAGGATATGATCCCATCTGACTAAGTCGAGAAGCATGTGTGTTTATTTTCATGGTTTGTGTCATTTGTTGTTTTTTTCAGACAGGGTCTCAATGTAGTTCAGGCTGACCTAGAACTCACCACATAGCTCACACTGACCTGGTAAAATTATTTGTATGCCTCCATGCCTTGTTCTACCCTTGGCCACTTGTACTGGGGATTGAACTCAAGGCCTTGAGCTATATCCCCAGCACCTTTATATTTACACTGGGTATTCTTATTTTGTTTTTTTTCCTTGAGATGAGATTTTGCTTAACTGTTCCATTGCCCAGGCTGGGTTCAACTTGTATCCCTCTTGCCCTACCCTGCCAGAGTGCTGAGATTAAACCAGCCTTGTATTACCTCGTCTGGCTTCTGGAGACTAGTCTTGAATTTGGACCTCCTGCCTCTGCCTCCTAAACAGCTGGGATTATAGGTGTTCGCCACCACACATGCTTATATCTTCTTGAGTATAATATATTATGTAATCCAACACCCTTGTTCTTAGGAGATACATGTGGGAGAATTTACATATAATGAATGTACAAAATGAGAAAGCAAACAAAATGTAAAAGCTCTCAATCTAATAAGAATGACGGGGATGGGGGGGGCCCTGGCCCTAGCTCAGTTCCTTAAGTGGCTGCTTCCACAAAGCTGTCAGCCTCAGGTCGCTGTAGTTCCATCCCCACAACTCCAGCCCTGAAGGCATTCGGAGCAAAAAAAAAAGAATGAAGGGCATGGGGCCGGAGAGATGGTTCAGTAGAATAAGTGCTTCCCTGGCAAGTGCAAGGGCCTGAGTTCAATCCCTGGTTCCACAAAAAAAAAAAAAAGAATGAAGGGCATGGGGCCGGAGAGATGGTTCAGTAGAATAAGTGCTTCCCTGGCAAGTGCAAGGGCCTGAGTTCAATCCCTGGTTCCACAAAAAAAAAAAAAAGAATGACAGGCATGGATAAAAATAAGTGCCTCAAGTGGTGTGGACACCTGTAATCCCAGCAATTAGGAGGCTGGGGCAGGAGGATGGCTGTGGGTCTGAGCCATATCTCAAAGTGAGACCGTATCTTTAAAAACAAAAACAAAAACCATGCCAGCAGGATACACACTTGTAATACCAGCATTTGAGAGGCTGAGGCAGGAGGATCACCACTAATTTGAGGCTGCCTGGGCTACCTAGTGAGTTCAAGGCCAGCCTGAACTACATAGTGAGATCCTGTCTCAAAAAGCAAAAAAGTGGGGCTGGTGAGATGGCTCAGTGGTCTAAAGCACCTACTTAGAACAAGCTCAGCAAAGCACAGGGACCGCGGTTGAATCCCCCAGCACCACATGCCAGCCAGCCCCACCCCTGGTGGGCTGAGCTGGCCATACACACACACATAAATAAATAAAATTAAAAAAAAAAAAAAAAGCAAAAAAGTGTACAAGGTGCTAGGAAAAAAAAGAAGTGGGCCAGGGAGATGGCTCAGTAGAATAAGCGCTTGCCTCATAAGCTCAAGGGCCTGAGTTCAGTCCCTGGTATGATAGAAGTGAGAATGTGAATCAGCTGTGGCCTTATTATACAAGGCTGTCTTAGTTACCATTCTTTTTTTTTTTTTTTGCAGAACCAGGGATTGAACTTGGGTCCTTGTGCTCCAGGGAAGCACTTATTCTACTGAGCCATCTCCCCGGCCCCTACCATTCTTATTGCTGAGACAAAATACCCAAATGCCAAAGTGAAGGGAGGCTGGGCTGGGGCGATAGCTCTGTGGCATAAGTGCCTGCCCAGCAAGTACAGGGTCTTGAGTTCAATCCCCAGTACCAAAGGGGGGGGGGGGTGTTAAAAAGAGACTTTTTTGGCCCATGGTTTCTAGAGGTTTAGTCCCTAATCAGGTGGCTCCAAGGCAGGGTAGAGTGGTAGAAAAACATCGCAGAAGAGAGACAGTTCATTGCTGACAGAAGGTAGCAAAGCAAGGGAGTGACCTTAGCAGCAGCTTCTGTCCCTTTTATACGCTTATCCAGACCACCAAGATTCGGGTGGTCAAAGCAGTCAGTGGACTGATTTAGTAGTCACCCACATTTATTTAATCCTAGCGCACTTAATCCTAGCATTGCACCATGAATCAGTCACACACTTGGCACCTTTAAAATGCCCTCCGTGGGGGGCCAGGAGAGGGCTCAGTGGTCTAAAGCACCTACTTAGAACAAGCTCAGCAAAGCACAGGGACGTGTTTCAATCCCCCAGCACCACATGCCAGCCAGCCCCGCCCCCTGGTGGGCTGAGCTGCCCCTCCCCACACACATAAATAAATTAATTAATTAAAAAAAAAATAAAATGCCCTCCGTGGGGGACCGGGAGATGGCTCAGTAGAATAAGCGCTTTCCTGGCAAGCGCAAGGGCCTGAGTTCATTCCCCGGTTCTGCCAAAAAGTAAAAAGCCCTCCCTGTGTCTATATGAGACTTTAGAGGGACATGTAGACACAAGCCGTAACACAGGTCATGGGTTCAGTCCCCAGCACCAAAAAATAAAGGTGGGACAATCAGAACAAACTGTCTATGTAAGTATAGGGTGTTAAGACTTCAGAAGCGAGGCATCTGGTAGAGGCCACCTATAATCTTAGCAGTCTTGGGGGTTGAGGTAGGAAGATCACAAGTCCAAATTCCTCTGTCCCACAATCCA